ACATATGTTTCATATGTTTGTTGTTGTTTGATTTATCATCTACGGGTTTATGTCGAATTAATTTGATGGCCTGCTCCCAGTTGGCTTGTTAGCTCAATTGGTAGAGCGCTGCACTAGTATCGCAGAGGTCAGTGGTTCGAATCCCGTACAGGCCTGAAATTTTTTTCAGGTCTGATTTTCACTATTGCTCAAATAGTGCTTTACTGCGAAGGATCGTGCACATATACGTTTCATAACCGCAGTTCATACATATGTTTCATATGTTTGTTGTTGTTTGATTTATCATCTACGGGTTTATGTCGAATTAATTTGATGGCCTGCTCCCAGTTGGCTTGTTAGCTCAATTGGTAGAGCGCTGCACTAGTATCGCAGAGGTCAGTGGTTCGAATCCCGTACAGGCCTGAAATTTTTTTCAGGTCTGATTTTCATTATTGCTCAAATAGTGCTTTACTGCGAAGGATCGTGCACATATATATAACTGTTTCTGTTTTGTACCTTTAAATGAACTTCTTGACAGCATGGGTCAGCTGGCTTAAAAAGCCATCCCTGGTAAATCTTGAGTAAAATACAATCATCTGTGTGATAAGCAAAGAGTAGTTTGCTAAACAACTGCACAAGACCATGTCAGGATATGTCCATACACAAACTGAAGCAGAAATGCCAGAGGCAGTTGTGAGCCAACATCACCATGAAAACAAGATCACAATGTTTGACTGTCAACAAAGTCTCTTCTGAAAACTTATCTGAAAACAGATGAGAGAGTCTGACATAAGGTTTGATGTTTCACCTGATTGGGAACAGAGTCTCTTTCGAAAACAGCTGTGTCTCATTAAAAGTGTTAGGAGTGATGTAACCAAAGACAATGTACCAAGAGTCCAGTCTTGGGAAAGACACTGTGAAAGAAGGTTCTCAGTCAACAATGGCAACATTCTGAAACAAAAAGTAACTTTGTATTAATACTGTTTTTTTCTTGTATAAAAACATGTTATCTTACACTGGTGCCCCAATCACAATCTTCAGATAATCAAAATTAATTTGTTTCACTGGAAAAGGTGGAGTATGATTTTAAGAATTATCGAGACTGAGTGTTTTGTTATTTGACAAAGCTGATGGCTGGGCATGGCTGGGCATGGCTGGGCAAGGCTGGGCAAGGCTGGGCAAGGATGGGCAAGGCTGGGCAAGGATGGGCAAGGCTGGGCAAGGATAGGCAAGGCTGGGCAAGGCTGGGCAAGGCTGTACAACATCCAAGTTTGGGTGATGATAGGATACAACTGGGGTCCATACAAAACCACAACCTGGAAAAATTTGTCCAGCCAATTTGCACTGCTTATTATTTAATAAAATGGTCTCACAATGCTATCCATTACCTGACCTTACTAACTAGTGATTGTATTGTTCCAAAATTTACAAACCTTGGGAGGAATTTCAATTCACAATCTCTTGCCAACAAATTGAGGACTTGCAGAGTATAATAAGCAACATTCACAGAATTGTTCTAAGGAATTTTATGGAAAAATTGGAAATACATTACTCAAAAAAACTAATCAAATCTGAAACCACATCAAATTAAGTGATTGTTTTTTTCACTTGGTTACTGGTGATCCTGCAAAAACCCTTAGATCATTCCCTCAGATGCTGTACTACTCAGTAACCTACAGGATACTTAAAGAAGATGCACATCTAAATAAACCAGGTTATAGTTCAATAAATAAACTTTTAGGTCAGTCTTTCTTTTATTTGTCCCCTCATTCAAACCTTAAACTGGAATACTGAACCCATACATCATAAACAGGTCTACATATCTATGCAAACACAGAAGTAGTGAAATAAACAAGAACACACAAGGAACTCACAAGGAAGGAACAAAAAAGCTCATGACTTAAATTAAAATCCTTTTTGAACCCTCATGGGAGTCTGGACAGAGACAATAAGTTTAAGTTAAACAGTCAAAATGTTAGTCTCTGGCAACAATTTATGAGACAAGAACATGAGAAGAACTTAATGCCAAAGTGAAGCCATTGAAGAATGATGTAGACAAGACAAAAAATGATAGGTTTATACAGTCATGACAATTTAGAAGAATCAGACAAAAGCACAGCATGATAGGTAAGTTGTTAATAAATTTGAAGCAGCACAAACCAATGAAAAAACTTTAGTTGGTATTCAGTATTTCTACTCACTGGTTGAGGCATCAATAACATAAACATGTAACCCAGTAATTCTGTTTGATAAATGTTCTCCTTGTCGTCAATCTTCTCTAAAAACCAAGGGGGAAAAAAATAAAAAACAACTGTCCTGTAGTCACTACATGAATTTCAAGTAAACAGACTTTGGCCTAAAAATTTTCAAAGTAACTTTAAAATATGTGTCACTCTCAAGAAGGCATTGAAGCGATTTTGACAAAAACAGACCCCCTTCTTAATAATATTATAACAAGCTTTCTTTGCAACGATCACTATTTGAACAAGCATGTCTAGCAATGGTTCAAAATAAATTGAAATCAGTAAATATATCTTATTAACCAAGCGCGAGGGCCATACTGGGAGAATATCGGTCCGATGTCTTGACAGTACCAACCGAGCACAGCGAGATCTGTACAAACAAGACCGAGGGCTGATATTCTTCCAGTACGGTCCCGAGCAAGCTTGGTTAATAAGAGATTTATTATACAACTGAAGTTCAAAGGAACACAAGTGCAGTATCATTCGGGACCATTCGGGACAGTGCCCGGTCCAATACTGAGAGAATATTGACCAGCAATAGAGCATTTTGATTGGTTGATTTTAGTTATTGGCCCTCTGACTGCCCGAGTCCTGTAATAATAACAGATATTACCAGTACCTGCCACACCTGTTTCCACAGAGGCCTCTACCCTCATTTTACCCAAACTGGAGATGTGCGAGTTGTCCACAGGACTCTTCAACAAAGATAACAATGAAAACCAAAATTCACTTATTAATAATGGTAAAATAAAGATTTCATTATCTCTATATTCATTTACCAGTACTTGGCAACAGAGACTAGATTATGTAATAAGAGTAAATATCAAGGATCTTTCTTCAGTTCAACAGTCATTTTTAAGCCTAGGTGTAAATAAAATCACAATTGGCATAATTATATAGAAATATAGCAAAGGCAATAAATATATCTTATTAACCAAGCTCGAGGGCCATACTGGGAGAATATCAGCCTGAGGTCTTGATAGTACGGACTGAGCGCAGCGAGGTCTGTACAAAAAAGACAGAGGGCCAATATTCTTCCAGTACGGTCCCGAGCAAGCTTGGTTAATAAGAGATTTATTATACGACTGAAGTTCAAAGGGACACAAGTGCGGGACCATTCGGGACAGTGCCCGGTCCAATACTGAGAGAATATTGACCGGCAATAGAGCATTTTGACTGGTTGATTTTAGTTATTGGCCCTCTGACTGCCCAAGTCGTGTAATAAAATATTGTATAGTACAGTGAAAATGAATGATGACGAGTCTAACTAGAGACAGTTCATTGTTAGTAGATTACATTTCTGGTGGCAATTTTTATGCTTGAGAAAAGTGGGTATTGAATGAAGACTTTGTCTTTTTCTTTACTTGAAAATATCTGCAAAAAAAGTAAACAGCACTGAAAATTACGAATAAAAATAATAATTAAGCAGCCTCAAAAGGTGTGGCCAACAAGAAAATTTAATGCAAACTTTACTCCATAGAGATATAAAAGGTTTGTATGTGGACAGTTATCATAGTGTTTTTTTCCCTAGTCTATGTCCACAGGTGAAAAGGATATAACACACACAGCCACTCTATATAATCAGCCCATTAGTCACAGCTTATTTAGCAGTCGTTACAACCACTTCGTCCACATCATCTTCTCTAGCTATGACTTGGTTTCTCTTAAGTCTTCTACACTTGAAAACACTTCTTAAAAAATACATCTTTAGACACATTCAACTGTGGACAACACATGACAACACACTGCTAATAGCAGAAAATTCCAAAACCCACAACATCACAAACACAAAAACAAAGACATCAGTAACTAAGCTTTGGGTACTAAGCCTAGTGTTTTACATGGACACTTTGTTTGAAATGTTAAAAAAAAGAGTGATAGTGTGAGACGCTCGAAACATTTTCTCGTCTGGTTGTTTAAGACTTTAGGAAGAGGATTTATGGTATTTTTGGAATCAAAATAGATACAATTAAAAAGAAAAGGAAACACATGACATTTACCTTAGCTATATCATCAATTGTGTTCAATACGCTCTCACTAGAAATCTCATCACTATCACCACACACCCTGGCTGACATTAAAATACATTCACAAACTTCATGGCTATGCATCACAAGAACATTCAGAAGTCTCAGTGAAATTTGTGCATTTCTTTGCAATCCAGCAAGTTTTTTTGCATGTTCACTTTCAAGCAGTGAACTTTCTCTGGACTCAGCTGAGTCATTTGTTGGAGAACTTCTTGGTAAACTAGTGCTGACAATGTTTTCATCACTGCGTTCTGTCTTTTGATGAACATAATCTGCAATATGGTTCTCCAGTAAAGGTAGAAATTTAACTGCTGCTGGCAAATGACGATCTTTGAAAACCAAATTCGAGGTTTTTTCTTCACCCTCATTATTTCCCATTTGGGGGTAATTAAGAAGCCCAGATAAAGTTTGCATCACAGAACTGCCGTCAGACATAACTAAAGAATCTTTCTGAGTGACACCACTGATAGATTTGGGCAGTATTGAAGCAGCCTGAGTTTCAAACAGTCTCAGAGTATGTGTGACATCTCTCTCATTCAGAAAAGTTTTCAGTATTGAAGATGTTGAGTAAACATTTGTACAATTTGTCGGAAGTGATAGGATGCTACCACTGCCATCTTGTTCCTGAAGAATGAACTGTTGTTCTTTTTCTTGTGGTAATAACAAATTCTGAACAAGTTCAACTTCTGGAAAACTTTCAACAAGTAGCTGTACATTGGCTATTTCACTGGCACAGTTATCCCTTCTCTGGGCTCTCACTGTGTCCACAGTCGAACTGCTACTGGAAAAACCACTGAGCCCTGTGTTTTCTGAAGTGTCTCCCTCAGATAATCTTGGTGAGTTCTGTTTGCTCTGAGTTTTGACTTCCTTTTCCATCCCTTCCATCCTAGGTGATTTTACTTTGCTTTCAGGAGATGTTTTCTGGAAGAATGAATTTCCAGTTGGAAAAGCTTCACTGAGGTTGACCAGCTTCCTTTTTGGACTATGACTACTTCCAACTGACAAAGATGCTGTTCTTTTTTTGTTCTGGTTCTGTTCCATCATCTGTGAAATTTCTCGTTCTTTGAATCGGATTTGAGTAGTTAAGTTTTCAACTTGTTTTAACAATTCTCTTTCTCTATCACTCTGTTCTTTAGCTTGTCTTTCATCAACAGCCTTTTTCTCTGCTTGCCTTCTCTTTTCTTCAGCTTGATAATCTGATAGAGAATCACGCAACATCTTAATTTCTCCATCTTTACAGAACTTATCCTCTTCCAGCCTTTTGACAGCAGTGCTTGCTGCAGCTAACTCAGTTTTGAGTCTTTCATATTCTTTTTTCAGGTTGTTCCCACCTATATCACTACTGCGTGCAGAAACCGTCCCATTAGGTTGATCCACAAGTAAATTCAAAGACGGATCCCTTTCTACAAGTGGATGTATAGAAGAATTTGCATGTGATACCCTCGAATCAACAAAAGAAACATGATCCTGAATACACTTGACTTCATGATTCTCATCGGAACTTTTATCAGGACCAACACGCGAGGAGCTAGTGACGGTACCACGGCAAATACTTTGCTGTGGGTATAAACTGGATGAAGCTAGTCGATCACACTCCCGCAACTGTTCAGCTGTCAGAAGATCGTTGTCGTCGAGGTCATCGTCCAAAGTGTAAAACTCGTCATCATCAAAAACATCGAGTGGAAGGTCACGGCAGGCTTCCTCTGCCGCAATCTCATCTTCTCTTTTTCCGGGTGAGCCATGAGAACTTTTGAACTTTTTGTGCGGTGATTCCTGATGTAGCGAAGTTCGTACCACTGATTGAGCATGAACAACACCAGCTGAATTACTTGATTGAGGTCCAAGTGCATTTCCTTCTCTTGAGTGTGATGCGATTGCACTGTAAATGAAATTTCGTCTCCTCTGATTCCCCAGAAGATTGTTATTAGTAGAGTTTGCCATAGTACAAGAAACCAAAATGTTTTGTACATTACGGTCGAAATCGAAGTTTACCGCGAATATTCTGTACCTCGCGGAGATTTGTGGGATGTCATGTTTGGGTCGAGACCGCTGAGCTACTTTAGCAAATGCAAGAAATCAGCTGCAGGCGGAGCTCTGGGGGAAATAATATTCCCTCGGGTCACGGGGTAATAGTTCTTGATAGTGTTCGTCTTTCATCAGAGTCGCTAAAATATTAAAAACTAAATTGATTTTCTTTGGGAAATCAATCCTGTAGATGACTCTCCGTTCGTCAAACGTACTGATTTTTTAAACCAAAAATTCTTTCCCCTAGAACCGCCACCTTCGAGAGATTTATTAATTTGTAGATAATTTATCTTTGTAACAAATAACATTTTAAAAAAGTTTTACTTTTTAAAATATACGTGGCCAACGTTGCTTTTAAACCCCACCCCTCCGTATCTTTCATGGTATCTCGTCTCCCACGATATCTCATCTCCCACCTACAGACTTACCTTTCTTTCTGACATCTCTCAGCCTCCTACAATTTTAATTTATTTCATATCCCCTCCCTCTTTTATGAATCATTCTCTCACACCTTGTATTATATATGTACTTTTTTTTATCAGTCATCTTCTAATCCTCCATAAGTACATTTGTATTTCATCTTCCTTCCCTCTTCATATGAATCAAGAGATGATATCTTGTATGAACCCATCTCCCACCCCTTCTATACGGTTGAATCTCATTTTCTACCTCACTAGATCTAATTTTACCTCCTTCGTCTCCCCAGTCTCCCTCCACCCCCATCCTCCACCACCAACTCCCCCCTCCACCACCTTTGTGAATTTGTTTCGCACCTTCAGCCTCCCACTTTTTCCCAATCTTTTGCTGATCTCATCTCACATCCACCCCTCTCTAGTTGTATCCTTATCTTTCAACTCTCACTTCCGATCCATATGTACCTTTATACTTCGCCTTCCTTTTCTCGCCTACGAACCGTTTATATTCCATGGCTTTGAATCTCAGCCCAAACTGCCATCAACAGCCTGTTAACTGAAGTCAGTAAAAGCTTAGAAGCTGACAGAGTGGATCAATCTTCCTCCTTCTAGAAGGTTTATAAAAAGAAACCTACATTCACACACGGGATTTGGGGCCTCAAAGTTTTTTCAACTGCCAATGAACACAGATGGAACGAAACTGTTTGACTTAAATTTAATGCTAATATCAACTTTGATGTAATATAAAAGTTTATCAAAACAACAATTACATAAAGCAGAACTCCAGTATGTCGATCTTAAAATTTGTGGAAATGTCTGTTAAGTTAGCAGATCATCTGACAAGTCAGTCATGAAATAATGTACAACAGAGGCAGTTAACAGCGTACAGGTAGGAATTAATTAATCGTCGAGAGAGTCAACTTGTGGGAGCTTGTTCTTCTCTGTAATCTTTGAACGACAGAGGGTCAGCTGATTAAACCGCTAAGAGTTAAAAAAATGTTTGAACATAAAGTAGTTATTGCATACTTAACTTTGCTAATATCAACTCTGGGTTAATATGTCATGCTAGACAAAAGGCGGAACTGTCCCCTACAATATTTTTCTATTTACAAATTTACACATATATTTACATGCTATATACACTTCCTCGGTTCTACTTCATACTTCATTCCTACACCTTTCTTTATTGGCAATAAATAACTCTTCATTGCTAGATGAAGAAACGTTCCAATCATGTCAGATGGATTAAAAAACTACTTAGTAGCTAACAAATATTGAGGGGGAGCCTCTGGGTTCTTTTCAATGTTTGACACCATGATCACAAACTCTGAGGATAGAATAAAATTATATCAATATAATGCAGATTTAAAAAATTAATAGATCATTAATTTGGGCATTACTTATTAATTATTAATTATTAATTATTAATTTTGGGCATTACAAATATTGAGGGGGAGCCTCTGGGTTCTTTTCAATGTTTGACACCATGATCACAAACTCTGAGGATAGAATAAAATTATATCAATATAATGCAGGTTTAAAAAATTAATAGATCATTAATTTGGGCATTACTTTGTAGGAGGGAGTTTCTTAAAGGGGTCAGTTTCTGTTACATGAAGCGAAAGGAATTGTTGCTCTTCTACCTTTTCAGGATGTTAGTCCATCTTATTTCGTCTGGCAGCCATTTGTTATGATGGATAAGGGTGTAGACAGGCATCGAGAGAGTTAATTCAGTGTCTCAGCCGAGAACGCAAACACAATTACCCGTACCCGGCTAGACACTCGAACCCAGACCTTTTAAATCCAGAGTCCAAAACGGTAAATACCGGGCATCAATATTTCCCGATATAGTTTGAACAACACGAAGATGTTTTTTTTGTCTTGTCTCAAGTACATATATCTCGAACAATACCATTTTTAATTCCACGATATACATTCCTTGTCTGAAACTGTCTACAAGATATCAAAGAGCAAACTGACAAATAACAGTTTATCTACTATACCCTCAAAGTTGATGTATCCGTCTCCATTCAGATCAGCTTCTTTCATCATTTCACTAACTTCTTCCTCTGTTAACTTCTCTCCGAGGCTCGTCATCACATTACGAAGTTCTGAATGACTGACGGAACAATAAATGAGCCAATAAGTAAATAAAGATAAAAAAATACTGAACAACATGGACTTTTGTAGGTTAATACAAATTTGAGACCCATTCTTGCACATTCGGAAATTAAAACAAGGAAACTGAAAGCAAATACTGCAGATTTTTTTCATGTATAGACTATGTGGAATTAAGGGTACACACTGTTAGCGTAAGGTGAAGTCTGGAACTGATGGGATTACCTGGAACGTATAAGTGAAAAGCGATTCTGTGAACGTTCTTGAAACATTTTTTAACCCCGATTTCCCCGGCCCTTACAGAACAAGTGCAAAATTTAAGCAAGTTCATAAAAGGGCTACTTGCCACTAGATGTAAATTAGAAAGCTTTGACTGGTCGCGTTTCATAAAAAAACGGGATATCTTTTACTTTAATTAACGGAATTTTTTTTGTTTGTAAGAGAAATATAAATTGAACTGTGAAGAATTTCCATGATAGTACCTAATCATTCCGTCTCCATTTTTGTCAAACACTCGAAATGCTTCTCGTATTTCACTCTCGGTGTCCCTCGCTTGCATCTGCTTCTTCATCATCAGCAAGAATTCTTCAAAATCCACCTCACCGTTTCCTTGAGATAACAAATTAAGGGATCTCATTTTAGCTGCATTTGTACAAAATTCTTGTTTGTAAACTAAATTTCGCGTAACTTCTTTAGGGCGAATCTCTGCATAAACATACTTTTCTAATAAACACTTGAACATATTGGAAATTAAGAATAAAAACGGTAGAAAAGACAACCACGAGCGTGTGAAGAAATGAAATTCACCGTATTCTAACAAAAGTCGTCTTCATTAAAGGTTGCGACATGGTTGGACAAGTTGCAAAGAACCTAAAATGTGCTTCATCATGGACAGCGACTTGTTTAATCTAACAAAGTGCAGCTGTAATTTTAACTAAGTGGTAGCATTTTAACGCCTTTAGATGGTAAGATGGTTACTCTACAGACCTAGAGCAAGACAACACTGGGTGCTAAGGATTTCTTTCCTTTGAAATGGGTTTTGAAATGCTAATGTCCTTCTTCTTCCATAAAAAAGCGGACGACTTTACCTCACTCATTTGAGAACTGTTCAATGTACTTAACATCGCCACTTTCGAGTTCTTTTGTGCAAATTGTTCCGAGTCAACACTTTACAAAATGAGCCATTATCCACTTCGTAAGTATTTCCAGAGTTATAAAACTCGACCCTGACAGGAGAGGCTAACCACACCTAATTCTAAGTGTACCCTAACCTCGTAGTGACACTACAAATATACCCGTCATATACAACTAAACTTGCTTTTAAAAAGAACCGCGAAATATTCGGAAGCCTCCCCAAATAAGGGTGCCTTATCGTATTGCTCTACACAAGCTACTACTCTTAACAATTGTCATTTTCACCAAGGTGTGATAACTTAGTTTGATATCACTACAAAAGGTTTTAGTTCTCATGAAAGATACAATTGAGATTCATTAATTTAGCTGCATTTACGCTTAGATTCTTGACAATGAGTAGGCTTCTGCGACCATTTAGCGTTCAAACGATATACATTCTTACACGGTAAACACTTTTATTAATTGATTCTTTGTTGAAACTTCTAAGAAATATGTCCATTATTCAATACAAACAAAAGCCGGATTAATCGTGCAGACGGGCTGTCGTCAGACCTTCTGAAGGAAATTTGAAATAACTAATCCACAAAAAAATTCAAATAAAGGTTTTTTCTAGAATTAAGACCTAATTAGACCCTGGCATTGTCATGTTATTTATTTGTAATTCACTGATTTATTTCATAGGGCGATGTTTTGAAGAGTGTTGATTAATAGCAGTTTGAAATTATATTCCACTATAAAACTTTTTGTGGTCACCTGAACAATTAACTCTTTCAAAAAACCATGTGTTTGTGTCAGTGTTCAAAAACAATTGTATGCAGCCAACTAAACGCTAAACATCCAAGAAAGCAGCGTGTTACCTATGCATGGAAACTAGCTTAACAAGATCCCAAATATCTAATTATATGGGTGATAGTGCTTTATTGCGACAGTGGTTTGGATAGTTCACCCCGTTCCAATAATACTCACAAAAGAAGAGCAATCTTTTAGCAAACAGGTAGTTACTCAAGAACATCCGTGATAGCAGGCCGGGTAACAAAATACAAACATCATCCTACACAGAAAACCGATGAAAAATTGATTAAAAACGAGTCTGATGAGTGTTATAGTAATACGCTTTCTATGAAATACATTGAGTTCGGATGTGGAAGCCGAAGGACATCTTTCCTCTACATCTCAAGAGAGCCAATATTCTTATCGGGATCACGCGTCGTATGAAGGCAAAATGCAATACAATCAAACCACACCGACAAAATGGTATTTAGAATTATCTGAGCACGTGCGACAAACAGGAGAAAGTTAGGCTTGTGACCAAATGAAAATTTGCCTGAAACACAGGATGCACCATTAAAAATTTATCAAAATTAGATGACAAGTTGCAAGTCGTGGACACAAGTTTGAATAGAGCACAAGATGTTCGATATTTTGTTTGTTTAAAATTAAAACAGAATTTAGCGGATGAATGAAGTCTCTCAGTCAATCTCAAAGAGCTGGTTATGTTTGAATTGATCATCCTGTCCTGAATAATTAATCAAACTCATTTCATGAATTGATAGTTTTATAACAAATTTGGCAAAAAGAAAAATTACAAGGATCTCCTGCGAATGAAAATGAAGGCGATTAACTGAAAAATCCCAATTTTAAGAGAGATCGAGATATAGGTATGTGTTAAAACATTCGTGTCCAGCTGACTGCGACAGCTGCCAACTGGCTGATTAAAGCTTCGGAAATTGACGTACATTTCATCTATGTTCCCGGTTGTTTTTGAAAAACATTTACTTTGTCATCCGCTTTATCTGCAGTTTTTTCTCATTTAATTGCCTTTCTTGTTCGGTTCTAAAGAAAATGTGCCTCAGCCCTTGACGTAAGTTGAAATTAATCTGCAACCATGTACATGTAGCCTTCTTCAAACTAAACAAGACACGTTTCAGTTGATTTCATCGCTGATTTGGTCAACCAAGTCTGAAACGTGACTTCCGAGTCAAAATTAAGCATGAAATATTTCAATTTTTTCACGATAAGCATCATAACCTGACTTTCCCTTTAAGTAACCACTGAATGCCAAAACTTATCTCCTTTCAATCTCCAATAAGAATACGCCCAAGTTACGCTGGGAGCTACATAGCTTATCCTTCCAAGGAATGTATTTTCAATGTGCAAACTATTGCTATGTCCCAGGGGCCTTTGCTTTACATAGCGTCTACTAATGGCCCTGTAAGGCGAACACCACGTTTAGGAAGCTCCATTGATATTACTTTTAGACAATGAAAATATTAACACCTATATTCAAACCGAGGAAACTTAAAGGTAGCACCAGACTGTTTGATCAACTAAAAAGAACAGCCAAAGAATTCACCACTATCTCCCTTCATCTCAACATTCGAGAGTTGGATTTCATTACGACAGAAAATGACTCATCGATGTTTGTTTTTCATTGAATTACAATACAAAACAATATGAGATTTGACGAAAAATCCACTAAAATTTACATACCACAGATCACTACTGTTTTGGGTTGGCGGTTTGATCCGGCACAGAAATGAATAGAAAAACACATTCAATGTTCCAAATATTACAAAGTAAACAACTTGGTCATGTCTTCCGATTGAAATCATGTAATACTTCCATTTCAAAATAATCTTATTTACTTGCAGCTTTTTGTCATAGAGGATCTTCGCCTTTTTTTTTTTTTTTACTAGTATTATATTGTATCAGGAAGTTTTTCTCAAAACCGGCACGGAAAAAAACTTCACTTTTAATTTACAAAGATTCATTTTTCCGTGTGGCTCTTTGTTTACCTGAATGGTACTTTTTCGATAAAATATTTCCTGAAAATCACACACTGATAAAAAATGAACGAAAGTTGGGTCTCCAAAGAAGTGAAAAGGAAAAGCTACTAATAAAAGAAAATAATTTATTTTGAGGAACCATCTGCGATTAAAATTTTGAAGTAGTAGGAATGCATGTGTTTCTTGCACTTATTAGAGAAGAAAATCAATTTTCTTGAAGCGCGCGCTTGAAAATTGGAAAGTGTACATAATACGTGCACGAGGTTTCATTATGTTAATCTGGATTTCATAGCAAGTGGACAGAAAAAAATGGGATCTAACAGAAATTAATTTTCCATCAAATGCGAACTGAATAATTTTCTCTTGAAACAAGAAAAGTAGTTAGTTTTTGTTTACCTTTAGATAGTTAAGCCCTTGCAATAAAATTTGCCCCACGAGAAAGTAGCTCGTACAAAATCGCCAGCCAGCTGCAGAAAATCTACTTTATTGTTAGGATGTATTTGGTGATTAACTGTAGATTAATTTTTCTTTTTTTACAGCGGGGCCGAATGGAATCTAACAGCGAACAAAAATGGTTAAATGTGAGGTAGTCTCCACTTGATTTATCACATTTCACATCTAATCCCATATTGAAGAGGAACATTACAAATACACAATCTTGCTTCTCACGTTTCTGTGGCATTTTACACATTCGCGCAAAATCTCTACTAAACCGCACCTTAACTTGTTAAAGTTTTTGTAATCTAGATAAAATAAACCGAATTAAAAACTGTTCGGGTTTATTCTAGGAAATTTGTCAATTTTTGCAGTAATTTACATTTTTGTTTTTTTCTGTAAAGATTTTCGTCAGCTGACAGTCAGACTAAGGAGCAAAACTTCCAAGTGACTTAACATTTAATTTACCATCCACATCAACTTCGCGAATCATTTCCTGGAGTTCGTCTTCAGTTGGGTTCTGCCCAAGAGACTTCATCACCACTTCGAGCTCTTCATTCGAAATTGTCCCACTTCCATCTTTGTCGAAAAGCGAGAAAGCCTCTCGTAACTCTGTGCATGAAGAGACAGTTTAGTTTCATTACAAGCGTTCTCGTCTGGTCAGCGCAACATTGTAGTATTACAATCAAAATATAAATAACATCTCTAGATATTTTAAAGCTAAGCGACATCTTACCATTAACTTGTTCTTCAGTAAGTTGGCGTTCGACCTAAAAAAGAAAATAAAAACCGTGTTAGAGCAAGTAAACGTCTTTGAAGAGGCATGAACAAGTCGCAACTTATCATGTATGTCTGAGTCTTGCGCGCGCTGTCTTGCATTTGGGTTTTATAACCTAAAGCGAGTATTCGTTTAAACGAACGAGTTGCAGGCTAGCCGCAATCAGCTCAGTGCTAAAAGCAAAACGAGTTCTTTATCCTCTGTTACGAATATTCACCATGATTCTGAATTTTTCTCGTTTCTACTTGGCAGCTCATACACCTCAGTTTGCGGTGGACGGATGTTCCCAATGATAAACAACTGCAGATCGTAGCAATCAATACATACGGACAAAATTCGCATAAATTTTCTTATGTTTGGCTTTTCTGACGTCATAACGTTTTGTGTGCTCGCCGAACACTTTGGGCTAATTTCCATTTTAAATCTATTGACTCACTGTAGCACCTGTCTCA